AATTCCAATTCAGCAGTTTCTCGCTGGAGTCTGGATTTGAAGTTTTTTTGTTTTAAGATAGCGACCTTCATGTCTGTGATTGCGTGACCAGAGAGATTGAAGTGTTTTCCGACTGGTTTATGAATGTTATAATTCTTGACATCTGATTTGTGTCCATTTATTCTTTTACGTAGAGACTGTCCAGTTTGACCAATGTACATGGCAGAGGGGCATTGCTGGCACATGATGGCATATATCACATTGGTGGATGTGCAGGTGAACGAGCCTCTGATAGTTATTAGGCTGATGTTATTAGGCCCTGTGATGGTGTCCCCTGAATAGATACTCTGTGCCTCCTTATAAGATTCCCATTCCCAGTGTATGCAGTTTTAGGCTAGTATTTGATATTTTTATCCATGTGGTGTGTTATGAAATAGCTGTACAGCATCTGTGAGTACCTCAGATAGGGGAGAAATATATTCAACTTCAAAATAAGAATACTGTATATTAACAAGGTATATATTTTAAAACCACAACTTTTTACGAAGTGCAAGGCCTCAGAACAGTTTTGACCTAGCATGGTAAAGCAGCGAATTTTCTAGCTCCATCTTGATTCGCTTTGACACAATCTGAAGGAACCCCTTCAAAGCCACAGAAAAGCAGAATATACCAAATTAGAATCAACCCTACAGCTCTCACTCAGTGGTAAAGCTCTCATTGAAATCATTGGGAGTTTTGCCCGAATATGGACTGCATAATCAGACCCCATCTTTCTAAAAATAACAGCTGCCCTATACTAAGAGTTGCCCATGCCACAACTGATATATGGGACATGGCCTGCACAAAAAGAGCAAGATGAACCATCTTTTGTGCATTTATATTCCACTCAAAAACTATGCCTCATCTGAGCTGAACAAGCATACTGTTAAGACATCACCTTGACCAGCACACAGTGTCTTCCATTCCCATAAATACTGAAATCTCCAAGTTTTGGCTACCTCTTATTAGGAGTCCTTCTTTCCTAGACTTGCTATTTACTCTCTTGGCTAACTCCTCAATGGCATGCTGCCATAGGTCTTGAGATCTAACTCACGTTTGGAAAATCCAAACCAAGAACTAGACTCCTGAAACGAGAAAGGAAACACTGTTTTATCAACTAAACGTTCTTATGATAAATTTGTTGGGTGAATTGTCAGAGCAGCAGCTCAAGCACTAGCAAAGAAAAGCTGAGGGCTTGTAAACTCACCCCCTCTTATGCTGTTCCCTTAATACAAATAAGCTGCGTATGCAGCTATGAGACTGACAAAGTTTGAGTGTTTGTGAGAGAGCACACAGGGAGTTCTGAAAGATGATAAACTATCTTAACCCGAAGAAACAATTCTTGTTTGTGGGAGATGTCTATCAATGTGGTCTCGACCAAAGCAGGAACTGCTAAATGCTAATCCCAGCATTAGCTATCATTCACAGCATGGCCTTAAGAAAGTCACTTTATTTCTTAAGGTTTCAGAGTAACAGCCGTGTTAGTCTGTATTCGCAAAAAGAAAAGGAGTACTTGTAGCACCTTAGAGACTAACCAATTTATTTGAGCATGAGCTTTCGTGAGCTACAGCTCACTTCATCAGATGCATACCGTGGAAACTGCAGGCTTCAGTTTGCCCAGCTGTAAAACAGTGAATATGCTTCCTTATTTCACAGAAGGGTTGCAAATTAGTGGCTAGCCAGCAGCACTATATAAGTGTTAAGTATTACATTATAAAGCTATTACGCGGATTACTGAGAAACATGAAACGGTGGTTGTAGCCAAAAGAGAAAATACTAGATTTTAGCAATTCAGTTCCTCATAGCGATTAGTCAAGATCCCAACACACTGACATAACTTGGTGACTTTTTTTCAGGAAGAAGTAAAGATGAGGCTCTCGTTTCTTTGCCTTGATCTGGCCAAGTGTTAAAATAACAATATCAGGTTTTTTAAGAATTCTTCATAAAGACAAATGTAAATATAGCTCAGTCGTCAGGCTGCTCTCTCCAGTCCACTCGAGTCATCAGGACATAACTTTTAGTTAAGATAAAAAAATCAGGATCCCCACTGCAGACAGCTACTCTCACTGTCACCACTACTTTCCAGACTATTTATTTTACACCCAAGGGTGATAGTTTATCCTTCATGTACAACGAAATAGAACCTTTACCGTACAACAGACATGTCTGAAGGCCTATTTTTACAAGTTACTTCTTTGTAGATCAATGCCCTATTTACCCAGAGGAGGAGAGGTGTACAGCATTATTCCCTGACAACATGCTTCACCTCTGTCCTGGATGATCCACCAATAGGCGTGAGAAGGGAGGTCAGCCCCCATGGTCCACCCAATTCTTAACGACAGGTTTCAGAGTAGCAGCCGTGTTAGTCTGTATCAGCAAAAAGAAAAGGAGGACTTGTGGCACCTTAGAGACTAACCAATTTATTTGAGCATAAGCTTTCGTGGTCTGCGGCCCACTCCATCAGAGGCATAGAATGGAACATAGAGTAAGAAGATATATATACATACAGAGAACATGAAGTTGCCATTCCAACTTCCACCTTTTCATGTTCTCTGTATGTATCTATATCTTCTTACTCTATGTTCCATTCTATGCCTCTGATGGAGTGGGCCGCAGACCACGAAAGCTTATGCTCAAATAAATTTGTTAGTCTCTAAGGTGCCACAAGTACTCCTGTTCTTTTTACCAATTCTTAACCTCACTGCTGAGACTGCTAATAAGGGGACTGAATAGAAATTTCATTTGCAGTCCCATTTCAGAGGGTTTACATCTAACTAAAGTATCACATTCCACCATTATGAAATGCAACAAAACTTCAGAGGCTTTTGATCTATGCCAGGCCTTTTTAGTAAAAAAAAAAAAATATGCAAAACTATACCTATCTTAATAGCTGAGTGATTTTGCTTCAAGTAATGTCTTGACAGCTTCCACTGAGACCTACTTCTGGCCATGTCGAAACTATTAACAATGTTTGACGATTAAGATGTTTGGTTAAAACAGACATCACTTGGTTTTGTGCCGAGCTGCTTAATAGTGATATCTCATGAACCAGAAATACAAGGGGGTCTAACACAGGACTGAAAAACTGAGCTGCTTTAAAATAATAGGTATAAGTAGACAAACTTGAGGAACTACAGTGTTTCCACTTGCTTATGACTGAACATAATTAAGGCTAATGTTTTCACAGTCCTTTGGAAATGTAAGTTCTTAAGACAAACATTATTAAAATCTGTAACAGAACAGGAGAAACTTTTTCAGTGCAGGAATTGAACAAAATTAGCTCTGATTTCTCTTTAGGTTTAAAATGTGAATACATTTTACAACCACCTTTTAATAAGTGCAATGCAACCACCTTTTAATATTTTTTTTTAAAAGATCGATGAAATTCCTCCCGAGGCATCCAAAGCCAGTCCAAATCACAGCACTCTAGCTATAGGGCAGCCTCCTTATGAGACTATCCCCCATGCTTCACTACATACTGTCAGCATGCATTTGTGTAGTGAATGATCATACGGTCTCCCTTTAAGCTCCAGTGAATAACTCACTACATGTGTGTGAGCTCCACCTGGCTGAGGACTAATTATCAAAGGCCATTCCCAAACTCTGGCTTTCTAGATATCGCACTGCTGTCTAGACCCAAAGATACTCTCTCTACTGAATGTATTCAATCTAGTGCATCCACAACGCACACATCGTTGTTAATAAGATTTCCCAGAAATGAGTCCAAAGGCTCAGCTACAATGTAAGCTTACATTGTGTTAATATACAAGAGAGCTGAATTGACATTACCCTCTCATTTCTAGCAGCAATATTAAACTAAAATCACAAAAAAGACCAAATGTTAAACATCTAACCAACTCATAGGAACCTCAGGGTCCTGGCTGTCACCCTGTTTCACTTTGTCTATGTATCAAGCAGCAGCTATTAACATCTGAACAGGTAAAAATTAATTTGGGCCCAGGTTAGAGTAGTAGGTAGAAGTGACAGTGTAAGCAGCTAAATGGTCAGCAGAGGCTCTATACATGTGAAATTTGACATATTTCTGTCCATATCTCAGTCCCTGTCACAGGATGGGTTCAGGGTAGCATGACTGAACAGAACAATTTAAGATGCCCAAGTGAGCAGCTGTTGTAACGGTGCAACTGTATAGCAGGGACGGCTGCTGAGCAAAAATTTAAACAAATCAAACATATAACATAGATGTTCTCCAATACGTGGGTATGAGAGATGGCATTAAATTAATTAGGGCAGCTAAATCTACATTGTACAAGCTTCCAACTAATCCAGGAACTTCTCGATTAACATTTTGCCCTCCTCTCTATTAACCGCTTCCAACATCATCAGCTCTTTTAAAATAGCATCGAGGAGGTGAGGTGCTCAGCCCAGGGCAGCATGCACCAAGCACAGCATGTCAAAGCAGAAGGACTTCAGGAAGACACTCAGCCGCAGGCACAAAACGAGGTGCCTTGCACATCAGGGGCTAGGGAGGGCAAGGGCAAATCTCCACCCTTCTTGGAGCCCAAAGCCCATCAGCACTGGCCAGGGCTCCTCTCCGTGAAGCTGAGTGCCCAGACTGGAAATGGGCAAGTGGGGTCGCCCACGTGCCCACACCGCCCCACCTGCGGGGGGAGGGGGGCGCAACCCTCAACTCCCTGACCTCGCCCCCCTCCTTTACCTGTGAAGAGCGAGCTCAACAGGAAAGCCAGCTCCCCACCCTGCACCGCTCACCCGCCTGCTCCCTGCAGGCAGGGCCCCCCCCAGCCCCCGCACGCACACTCGGGGGCCCCTCCCCAAGCGCAGTAACCGCCCCCCCCCCGCCGCCTCTAACGGTGCCCAGCCCAACCGCCCCAGCCTCCCCCTACGGGCCCAGACCGCGGGAACCCCCAGGCCCCTCCCCTCGGCAGTCACAGCGCGGCAGCCCCGTCGCCACAGAACCGGGGGGGGGGCAGCCCCGCCCGCCCGGCCGCGCCCCGGCCCCTCACCCTTCACGATGCGCTCGGTCGTGGGCAGCTTGTTGTGGCCGCGCCCGGTCATGGTGCCGCCTCCCCGCGTCGGCTCCCGGACCGCCCCTCCCCGCGCGGCCTCCGCCGGGGAGCTGGGACTCCGACGGCGGCTGAGCAGGCCCCGCTGCTGGCGGCGCCGCAGGGATCCGGATCCGCTCGGTGTCCGGGCAGCGGCGGCTCCTCCCGAGCTCTTCTTCTCCCCACCCCGTCCCCGAGCCTACGCCGTTAGCGCGCAGGCGCCGCCCTGCCTCCGCCTCCCGAGCAGAGAGCGCGCAGGCGCCAACCCCCTCATGTCCTCTCGTGCGCAGGCGCCACCTCCCGTCCCTGTGCTCCTCTGCGCGCATGCCCCCCACTGGTGTTCCTCCCCAGTTCCCTACCCCCCCCGCCCGGCCCGTGCCCGTGCCCGGCGCACGCGCACGGCCCCGCCCGCGCTGACGCTCTCCCGCAGGCGCCTTTCGGAACGGCCCGCCTCGGAGGGCACGTGACCAAGCTGCGGGGAACCCTTTCCTCCCCCCCCCCATCTTGCCTGACCAGTGTTGCTAGGTGACGAGGGTCCGGCCCTGCTTGCGGCCTGATCCAGGCGGCCTGAGCCCAGGGCTAAGGGTCGCCTCCCGGAGCCTGACTCAGCTCCTGGACCGCAGAGCTCGTGCCCCCTCCGGGAGGAGACCCAGGGTCGCCCTCGCTGCCCCCTTGGGAAGAGGGGGCTGGTGCTGCTCGCTCTGAGGGCAGAGCTGCAGGGGCCCCCTTAACCCAGCATCCTCTTCTCACAGAAGGGACCGCCTAAGGGGAAAGGCCTCCTGCCCAACGGCGGCAGAGGCCCAAAGCGTGGCCCAGACCACAGGATTTTGCATCCTGCAGGAAAGCATGGCAGGGTCGTGAGAGGACACTCCCTCTCCTCGCCTACCCAGCTTGGTGCAGTAGTTTTCCTTTGATGACATGTGTAGGGATTGCGATGCACAGAGGACACTGCCTCCACCACTCTGCCCAACCGCCCACCTACCTGCTAATGCACATTGCCTCGCCGCCGCCCTAGAAATAACAGGCTGCAGGGCACTCAGCCATCATCCCTAGGCCCAGGGCTCAAGCTAGCCCTTCAAAAGGCAAAAGGAGACATCACCCACTCAGAACACAGGGCTCCATTAATCTGACAGGCACGCTCTTCAAAGGGTATGCATTTAACAAAACAAGAATACTAGGCTCACCTTTAAACAGGAAAAAAGGGAATTGCAAGTACTCCTATACAGGCAGAGTAATTGAATGAGACTGACAAATTTAGAGATAAAGGATAGGCAGCAGTGACTGAAACCAGGAGCGTGAGAATTATTGGTAAACAGGTACCCATCTTTAGAGAAAACAGTTTAAATGAGCCATTTTTAAAATTGGGGAAAAGTCATTTTAAATTAGCAGAGAAGAGGGGTTAACTGTAGCAAAAATTGCAAACGTTTCTGGGATTTCAACTGAGCCAATAGGCTGAGGTACAGAGTTGCTGACAGAAATAAATAAATAAATAAATAAATAAAAAGAGGTACTTGTGTAGCCATGATTTTAAAACAGTCAAGAAGCTCTGGTCTATGCCCAACATAGCCAAGTTAATCCTGAAGAAACCTTACTGATCAACAATCTGGATAAGCATGCTTGATTTCTCAACTCAAACACTGCATTAGGAGGACAGCAGTAAGTCACATTTGTCCAAAATTTATTGTTCAGTGTTATGTATTGTAAGCGCAGCCAGGATGGTTCAAGGTTTGTTTGTTTAAACTTGGTGGGAAACTGTTGTTTTTAAAAGCAATAAAAAAAAATTTATTTAAACAAAAGTGGTTACAACCAGGGTACTGCAGTTTTGGGCTAAGCGTACAAGAGCCTGGAACGTGATATTGAGTCAAAACTGACTATGCTCATTTTAAAAAATAAATAAAGCAGCCAGAATGACACAGGCACCTCTGGCCCAGACTCGCTTCACGTGAACTAGAGTGAAATCCACAAGGCATCCCCAAGCCCCTCTAGGGGACTCTAAAGTCATAACAGGCAACTGGCTTGCTGCATGCACAAAGACAGCATTTTGAATGGACATATCGTTTTAAGAAGGTGAACACTTACAAAGTCAAAGTGTGAGAAAGGGGCACCACAAACCAAAGTATCCAACCGATCAAATGATGCGTGAGTGGGCATCAGTGCCATCTTCTGTTTAAAATGCAGCACTGCACTTAAAGCCAGCATCCGCCCAAGCTGGGTAAATCAGAAGTTATAGATGGAAAAGTCATATTACATCATCCAATGCAGCCCAGCCTTCTAATGTAGGATCGCTCCCTCCAGGCCACCCCTACCTCCCGCGCCCCCCAGTCGAGTTTTAAACATCTGAAGTAATGAAGCTTCAGTCTCTTCCCAAGGGAGACTATTCTGCAACCTGAACAGATCTCACCGCAGGGAAGTTCTTTAATATTCAGGCTATATACTGCCTTTAAATCAGAATTCAATACTGCACAGAGCACACTTGCCATTCTCTTTCATTACAGAATAGATTTTAATTTATGGAATTTTACAAATAAAAACTTTACAGTTCACAAGACATAAGTTATGTTCTTTGTTTCAAGAAGTGTTTCAACAAGTATTTCTTATAACACCTGAGATATTAAAATACTGAGATGGAACTTGAGTTTCTAATCAGATGTGTAAAGGGAAATATAAATAAAAACACTCACAAGCTCAACTTAATGTCAATTTCCTTTCTCAGCCATCCCTCCGGCCCCTCTCACACACACCTTCCCTCCCTCAGGTTTCTACCATCCTGCACAAACAAGAGAGAGGAGCCTCTTCCAGGCACCCCTTTGAAATAACACATTGATTACCTGCCTCCCCCAGCTACACGTGTACTTAGAGAATGTTTCGTAGGTAACTCTCCCTAATTTCCAGCCTGCAAATTTCCTGATGTAGTCAGCTCCCAAGAACACCTTGAAGGGAAACTAGAGAAAAGACTCAGGATTTCTCTGTCACGTTCAAGGGCTCGGAACAGCCCAGAGGAAATTACACATCGGTTCTTATAGTTTCCTACCACCTGGAGCACAGCTTAGTTTCTAGTTGGTTTGTTAGTAAGTACAATTTGGGGGTGGGGTGGGGGGATGTTGTTCCAGGAGATGGGCCGATTTGCCAGATGCTGACAGTGCAGTGCCTCCTCTCCGTGTACCATTGAACCATCCTTGCCAGAGATAGCTCTGGAACTATGAAAAAGCTAAGCCATTTTCTTCTCCCTTTTGGAATGCACTAGATGTCATGTGCTTTCCAAAAATTTCCTTGAGAGAGAATAGGCAAGCCAGACCTTTCCCCTTAAGACAGGGGTTAAATCTCTCACTCTCAAACATTACGTAACTCAGCTAGAGGGCTGCAGCTCTCCTACTAGTGGTAGTGCATGCTTTTTGACCGCAGGCAGCGTCCCTCTCTAGTACTGTTCCCAGAAGCTCGCCTCCTCACTGTTACAATGAGAACTTCTCCTGGTCAGCTGCTGATGACAGATGCTGGCCTGACCAAAAAATTTCCCGTGTGACTCACACAAAAGAGTGCCATCCTATTCCATTCACCTCTCAACTGGGCAGCAGGAATCCCACAATGATGGTTATCCTGTGGGAAAGGAGATGGCTCTACTGCTTTCCAGAGGCCCCTATTCTAGTTCTTTTATAAACATGTCAAGGAAGGGTTTGGTGAAATGGAGTTGGCAAAGTTGGGCCAACCCGTATCAAGCATTCATTGGTAAAAGATGGTCTCAACTAAGTAGGGTTTAGGCCTGGGCCATAAACAGCAAGAATGGCGTGAAGAAAAGTCTTTCTCCTGGCAATGGAGGAAGACAGTATGCCAGCTACCTAAGATACAGGCAGTGAACGTGAGATACCGCTGACAAGGCTGTGGTCCCTTGCCCAAGTTGACAGAGCTGCTCTGAAACGGTTTTGATCCTTTTCTAAAATAGGGCAGCCCAGTAGGCTACTATGGATAATTGGTCATGTAAACAAAAGGCTGTATTGCACAGATTACTACAGGGTTCTGCACTGTACCCTCTCCTGTTCAACATGTTTGCAAGGACTCTGGGAGTGCTACAAAGGAGACAGGGACTATGGTTTCTGCCGTACGTAAATGACACCCAGCTCTCTCTCTCCATTAGGGCCAATCGTGGACGGATGACTGACAGCTACAGGAGATTGGGGTTTGATATCCAGTCTTCATTGAGCACGTTAAAAGGAAATAGGCATTAGAAGGCAGAGGTCCGGCAGTCAAACCAAGTCATGATCCTGTTGGAGGCGCTGTGCCGGCCACAGCGCATGCTGTTGTCCCAGGTGGTTTTGGTTCTGACATCTATTCCTTTGGAGTCACTCCGATCTCAGCTTGCCCTTACTGAAGGGAGGCAGGCAGTGGGCCTGGGTGTAGCTGCCCAGCTCACATTTACCAAAGAGGGGCCTAAACCCTTGAGGTGTAGGGTGTGAAAGCATTGCGTATGATAAGTGAACAGGCCTTTCACCTTTCTTCTGAAGGGTTGCAGGGGGAAACCATCAGGAATAGCTTCTGCTCAGCCTCTGCCACGAGGACAGCACACCAAGGCAACACAACTTTGTGTGTCAACGGACAAGTTACGAGACAAGGGACTGGACAACAATTGTTCCCTTACCAGGGAGCCGATCAGGCAGATGGAATGATCATGAGAGAAAGAGAGACTGGCAGCAACAAATTCGACACTCCCCACAGAAATAAGAATAATCACCATCCCTAGCTCTTATCTTGTGTTTTTCATCAGTAGATCTCACAGCACTTTACCATAGAGGTCAGCATCATTATCCCCATTTTCCAGATGGGGAAACTGAGGCACAGAAAGGGGGGCGGGGCGGGGGAGTGACTAGCCAGAGGTCACCCAGCAAGCTAGTAGCAGAGGCAGGAACTTCTGTTAGTCAGCAGCCACAAATTCACAACCATGGGAGGCAGAATCTGGAACAACCCAAGGGTGAGGGGAACCTCATTCCCTGCCCAAGCTGAAGGGGCCAAACATTAACAATAAGTCAGTTCATCTAGTGAATCGAAGGAAAGCAAGCCCAGAAGCAGAGCTCTGAAATGCCTTTAACTCCCTTCCCAACTCCTGCTGCTACCCAGAGCTGGGTTCCAGTTCCAGACTGTGTTCCTGGGACCCTGTGCCGTGAAGAAAAAGTACAGTATTTAAAAAAACAACAACAACAACCTTGCAACTCAGCAGTGTCAGTGTTTAAAACCAGATGTCCAATTCCAAGTGAACCTGGTCACAGTGTAAGGATCGCTCTCGCAGGAAAGCCTGAGAAACTGGCACCAGGACTTGTGCTCCACACCGCCCCGGTCTGAATGCAGCTGCCATGCCCTTCCCTTGCAATGGTGAGATCCTGCAGCATCTTCGCTTCACGGCACAGCTCCCTCCGCTCTCAAAGTGTCCCGAGTTAGGATGGAGGGACTCCTGGGAGAGGCCGCGGCGTTTAGCTGTTCTACCTCCTGGAAGCCACCCAGGAGTGTCCAATAGTGTCATTCTGACCAGCAGATGCAACTGTATAGTTCATTAAACCCCTACAGGAGCAGCATAACTTTCCCGCCGAAGCCAGTCTGACTGCATATCAAACACTTCTCCTGCCCTGGTATCTTCAGTGCTGCCTCTGCAGCCAGTGGGAAGAGACCAGAGCAGCAACAGCTGTGACTAGTTTTCAAGCGCAGGGGGGGCAGGGAAACCAAGGCTGCCTGCCCAGTTCAGTACCCACTACCTGTGCCAGGAAAGGATCGATTCCAGCACAGCAGCAGGATACGTTCTTGCTCATCCCTCTCCCTGTGCAACCTTCCCAGACCTCTTCATTTCTCTTTCACACGCCGCACCTTTCCTCCAGCCCAGCACACTCTGCAGAGACATTGGCACGTGAAGCTTTTGGAGGAAGGAGACCCTTTCTCGAACAGGTCTCTTGACTGCATATTTAGGTCCAAAAGGCAGGCATGCTCCCCATGCTCAAGAGAAACACCAGATACCTGCACAATCGGAGCGTTGGAGGCTACAGGTAACGCGGGTAAATACTGGGGCTGTCCTGGGACCCATGGCTGTTCCCCTGCCTCGCATTTCCATTGCCCGTGGAGGGACTGAGTACGAGGGATGGACAGGCACAAGCCTCAAGCACAGCGTCTGCCTTGGTAAAGTAGCCTCACCTCCAGCGCTGACCCCACATCCATCCCCCAGCCGCAGCCACCCGAAGAGGATGGGAAGAAGTCATGTCCATGGTTGGAGCTCTCCGAAGGGGTTGATGTAGCCAGAAAGGAGCCAGTGAGCCCGTTCTCCTGATCCTCACACATGTCCTTTCCAGGAGTCCCTTTGACGCAAGGAGAGTAGAGGAAGGGATGCTACACTGGAAATAGGTCCTTGGGTCACTTTAGATATAGGGCAAGGAGCTTCATCAGCCCCCCTGAAATAAACGATACAAAGTCTATGGAACAGTTTTAATAGAAATGCCTCTTTTCTGTAGTGCTTTTGCAATGCTGATGTCTCATACAGGTGCTGTCAGTCCGTATGCTTGCAGGTGGGAAAGCCCAATCAAACCAGGCCCGTCCCTACCCTATCTGGATCTGGCCTGAGAACATGGTGAGCAGCAGCATGATAATGAATCCCGTCAGCAGCCCTGCGTTCTGGATAGCGAAGGCAATCAAGGCGCTGCCATTCCGCTCGTCCTCCTGGCTCACTTCATTCATCTCAGGGAACTGAGAAAAGAATTGGAATGTTTCAGTCGTGGAAATTCTCTGCCCTCCAATCTCTGTGAATTTGCACATGCAGATCCCAGCGCTGTATACCCCCATCTATTATTAGGCATTAATTTATATAAAGCTGTTCACAATCAAGGCCAAGTGTTCTTGACCCTGACCCTGTCCAATCCTGCTAGGCTAAAATCTGATAAATTTACAGCTCAAAGTGGTCTGGCTATGGGTTAGCTACACACCCTACATTTGGTGGGCACGAGGGAATAACCATCCCTCTGTATGCTCTATTTTCCCCCATTCTCCCCTCCGTGCCCAGGGTTGCAGATACTTCTGACTTACACAGGTCCAGTCAATACCCCTCCTCAAAATCACCCAGAGGCCTCACTGTGAAAAGCCAGGAGGGAACCCTACTGTACTGCACGTGATGTTACAGAGCATTGCCGTTAGGCAAGTCCTATTAGCTCCCAGAGCCCTGTATCGTCAAAGCTTTCCTGTACAACAATAATCCTGACAGAGGCTCATCAGCGCTCATTGGCCAGTGGTCACTGCAGAAAAAAACCCTGCAATGCTCCGATCCCCTATCCAGCAGCTACTGTTGGTTTGGGATTTACCATATCAGCCAGTGCAATGTAGAGGAACATCCCACCAGCTAGAGCAAAGATCCAGTTGGCAGAGAAGTGGCTGCCTGCCACGATCCCAAAGGCCAGCCCTAGGTAGCAGCAGCAGGCCGAGATGAAGTTGAAGAAGAGCGCCTGCTGGATTGTCATTCCGGCATTTAGCAGGATGACAAAGTCACCTGCAAAAGGGAGGATCACGTAAGGAGAGGAGGAGACAGACAGCTACACATGACCATCTATGGGATGGATGCATCAGCTGCCCAAATGCAGCATCCCACTGGAGAACAGCACTCAGCAATCAGGCCCCCTGTTCACTGAGGTGCTTAAGCATATGCGTAACTCTAGGCATGTGAGTAGCCCCACTGAAGTCAAAGTCAATGGGACTATTCAAATGCTTCAATGCTCATTCCTCTTGCTGAATCAAGGCTTTACATAATAAAAATAAATAATAATAATGCCTTGCTCTTATAGAGCATCTCTATCCATAGACCTCAAAGTGCTTTTAAACAGAGAGTAGGGTATCATCATCCTGATTTACACCTGGGGAAACAGAAGTAAAGAGAGGGGAAGTGACTGGTCTAAGGTCACATCGTGAGCTGGCAGTAAAGGCAGGAATAGAACCAAGGTCCTCCTAACCCTCAGAGCAGTGCCCTACACTGCTCAAGAAGCAGTCTTGTGTCAAGCCACAAATCAATGCAGTTAACTGCAAGAATGAGGCCACCCTAGCCCAAGGGAACCAAAACTTTGCAACACTGACAGAATCGCTGATTCGCCAGGTGCCTGAGGTCCACATCTACTTCCATGTGTCACTCTCTACATTCAAACACAAACACATAACAGGCGTTTTACCAGCTGTCTCTCAATCTAAATTTAATCACAAACACCCCTGGTTTTCAGAACAGATTACACCATGTGATTCCACAGTTTTCCTACCCTGGCTAGCACGGTTTCACATACCGTCCTCCACCACATGCACACGCGTCTCTTTAAATGACTGAGAAGTTGGTACATTTTGTTGACGGTTGAAAGACAATGGTGAAATAGGTTCAAGTTAAACAAGTGCTTTCATGCGTTCCTTAAGGACTTAAGCACTTAAGCACATGCTTAAATATTTGGCTGGATGGGGAGCAAACGCAGTTAAGGTGCACAGCTGAAGAGCCACGTACCCAGCTCGTGGGGGAACTCCTCGCAGAAAATGGCCACGGAGGTGCTGATCCCTTGGAAGACAGACACGGTGAAGGAGGCACCGATGGCCAGGCCATCGATGAAGTTGTGGAGCCCGTCACTCAGGGTGATCATCCAGGCCAGCGTGCCAATGTCAGAGTATCGCACCCCCTTCAGCCAGTAGCACGCACTTTGGGAAGCCTGCAGGTCCTGCAAGGGAGCACCCCAAGTCACACGTGAACCCCACTGGCTGGGTCTCCAACCCACGCCCGACTGCGGACAACTCCACTTGTCTTACTGCGCTGCCCAGTGTCATGCCCATCTCTGCAGACTAAGCCAACGCCTCCAAACAGCTGTAACTGGTAACCCCAGGGGAGATAGGCACTAACCTGGACAGACAGAGAGCCCACAATGACTTTCTCATCCACAGATGGGTTCTTGCACTCTAGCTCACTGGTTCTGTGAGGGATCATGTGATCCATGTCCCCATTCTGCAGCTTTTCAGTGACGCCTTCCTCCTGGTCCTTCTTGGAGGGGAGGGTCTCAGGGCTGTAGTGGCTGTGCCCGTGATGGTGCTGGAAGGATACACAGATTTACAGGCTTTAGCCACATGCAGCATGGATGCATGCAGTCACTTGTACATTTCTGGCTCATAAACGCCTGGGGCATGCTGATTATTTTATCTTGCCCACAAGCTAGAACAGGAAACCTCACAGACACGGCAATGCTGAAGCTGACTAAAACCACTAGGAAACTAGAGTCTCTTTGATTATTGAAGCCCAACATTGTGATTGTACATTTTCATAGCATCTTTCATCCCAGAGCACTTCCACCTCTGCTAACTGACTGTACAAACTACACACACACACGAGTCACTATAACTACTTCTGGGATGGCATGTGACAGCTGTTGGGGTGGATCAGGAGAAGGAAGAAACATACAGCATCATGCCCAAGTGCCTCTTACTTCCCCCTTTTCTGTCAAAAATATCATCCTCCCCCAAATGTAAAAAGGAACCACTGTTTGTTGTACAAAGATTAAGCTTTTCTATTCACACACAGGATTTAAGAGTCAGTAAAGCAGGTGGCCTTTCCAGAGTGCACCAGTCAAGGGCATGCAGCAGATTTAGATTCCACTCCAAACTGAAAAACGGGGTGAAAAAAAATGGATTTTTGAAAATTGCATCAGAGTAAACCCATTGGGAAGCACCTTTCTGGCAGCGGTACCATCTGGGAATGCCTAACCTGCTCCTATGGGACTAACTCAACCTCACCTGATCTGTCTGCTTGAGAAGCATCTTCAGGATTTTCTCTGTGAAGAAGAACAAGTAAAAGCCTCCAAAGACCACTGCAGATTTGGAGACATAATAATCCTCCTGAGGGTTGAATCCAAAGGCCTGTAGACAAGGGGCAACAGAGAAAGATTTGAGAACCATAAACGCCAGCAGCGTCCCTCACCTCCCCTACCCATGTCTCTAGGAGCTCTCAGTACAGGGACAGCAGAAGAGCACTTCAGTTAGTCTTTTCTCCCCCAATGAATGCTTCAGGGAAAAGCTTAACACACCTAATTGTGCAATACTACTGCATGCTAGAAGGGACTGTCTTCCTGACCCCAGACGTAATCAGCTCATGCCCTGATGCATGAGGATTGTTAGCCCATCTCATTTTTAGCTCAGACAGTGTCACTGCAGATCCTACTCACATTAATCTAAAATGTCCAATACCTCTATAAATCTCTCTCAGCTACTCATCTTGATATCCTGTGGCTGCGAGTTCCACCGGTTAATTATAAAATGCCTTTGCTTTAAATCTATTGGTTTTTAAATTCACTGTCCCTCCTCTCACAAGTCAGATGTGAGTATAAACATAGGCAGGTGGGCCAATTAAATCTATTGTATTAGCAAGTCCACTCCCAGAAAACATCATTAGCTGTCCTGTCCTGTCCTCTCCCTTTTGAGCACAGAATCAGGAGAAGCAACTGCACCAACAATCGCTGATCAGGCACCTGCATTGGGGATTTCTGGACAGTAACTCCACTTTTCTCAGCTTATTCATTTCTTGTGTGCATAGAAGGTGTTTTCTAGCACAGGGGCTGGGGATCCTTTTATATCAAAGCCCAGATGGTGTAAGTCGCTTCTCACAACGAACTCACCACTGAGACTATAGCCTGGAGCACGTCCACTCTCAGCCAGCATGAACACTGAGCCGTATATAAGGGACGCGAGTGGCACCAACAGGCAGCTCAGACTCCGCTCAACATGGAATCTTCTCTCTACCCCATCTGCTCTCTACCATAAAAGTGACCCAGTCAAGCCTGGCTTTGTTCACACGTCAAAGCCACTTTCTTTATATGGCCTGAGAACAGCTAAGGCCTGGTCTACGCTTGAAAGTTAGGTTGCCATAGCTCAGGGGTGTGAAAAAACACACAGCTATGCTGACCTAATCCCCACGGTGGACATAGCTAGGCCGACGGACAAATGCTTTTTTTTGATACAGCAACTATAGCTCAGAGAGGTGGTCTTCCTACAGCAACAAAAAACCCCTTCCCTTGGTGCAGGCTGCTTCTAAGCTATGGGGTTATGCCAGCATAGCTATGGAGCCATAGCTGTACCAATATAGTCTCCATAGTGTGGACGTACCCTAAGGCTTTGAGGTCCTCTGAGCAGTGCTAGACCATGGCCAGAACCTCATCCTGGCAGATAAGTAAATACAATCAGGGTCATTTTATAGATAGGCACCGAAAGGTGAGGTGGAAGTGACTTGTCCACGGTCACATGGTCAATGGCAAAGCAGCTAGGAGCTTAACACAGTCATACAGCAGCATTTTGCCTTGCTGATGGATCTTAAACATTTCCAGCTCCCAGATGCAGGCACAGACCAGGTCCGACCAGATCTTTGTCTCCCTGCAACATTCACTCATGTTTCTCTTCAAGTTCCACCGGCTTCTCCTCAAACCAGGGAGCGCAGGCAGACAGACACACATGACAGGCCCGAGGGCCCTCACCATACCTCAGGGATGAGCTGGAAGAGAGCATTGGAGTAGAGAGTTCCAATCGCCAGAGCTATGAAGTAGAGCAGCAGCCGCTTGTAAAAGGTCTTCTTCATGAAGGGCACCACGCTGGCTCCCACCAGGGAGCAGAGGGAGATGACGGTCACGCAGAGGAAACCGTAACCCCAGACTTCAGCGTGCGTGCCAACCCCACCCCAGTTACACCACAGAAGGCAGGAGAGTCCAAGGAAATCAACACAGGACAGCAAAGAAGTGAATCCACACCAGAGAGAGAGAGAGAGCGGGAGGGGGAGAAGGGAGGAGAAAAAGGGACATTTATTAGTGATTTCATATCAATCTCGAATTGGTTCAGGGAGGCCAGAAGCAAACCTGGTACAAGATGGCTCTGGAACTCTGACATGCTGGCCCCTTTGGGGAGGGAAAGATCGTGGCTGGAACACTACAGGGAACGTGAATCATCAGAGCTGGCCCTACAGCCCACGTTCCAGAATACGGCTGCTGTGACTAACTGCACCACAGACTGACGAGAGGATGGATTCTCTCCTTGGGGAAGCCGGGATTTGGGTGAAGGAATGAGATTCCTCATCCTAACAAGGCTCTTACTTTAAAATAAACACTCCAAGAATGGAAGTTAGCTTGTGGCAGGTGGACGTGAAGTGTATTTTGAAGAGAGAAATAAAATCAGGGTTCTACTCCCAAAACAGATTCACTTTCCTGGTGACCTTGTCAGACTCCCAGTGGGCACATGTCATTCCCAGAGGCATAAGGCCCATTTAATGGGGGGGGGGGGGGGGGTCAGAGTTCCAGCATTCCATGGAGCACTTCAGTTTTACAGCCAGCATCTCGTACACTCCACCCTCATCGCACAGTGGAGCCGATTCACCCTGTGCATGCCTAGTGCACTCATCACTGGAGTATCTGGGCACCAGACAAAATCAGAGAGGCCAAGTGCTCTGCCTGGGCTGTCCGAGACCCTTCCGGCCTAATGGATTAACCTGCGTTTGCGTTCCATGCCGTGGGAGTTCTCCTGCAACATGCATACCATGGGGGTGGAGTGTACACCATCATTTCAGTTCCCATCAGATCCAGAAACAAGGCATTTTGTTTGGTTTTTAAGAGGAAAAATACAACAAAGTTACAGTTCTGGAGCTGAAAAATACCTCCCCAAGTCCCACAAACAAGGGGCTCCATCAGACTCTGGTTTAGAGATGTGATAACAGCCCTTGCCAGCATGGAATATGCAGGAATACTGGGAGTTAGGTTAAGACCACCAGGCCTGGAGACCCAACATGAAACATACTAGCTTTGTTTTAGCTTGCGAGGGGCTGAGAGAAACAAGCACCAATCCTGTTGTCCCCAACTCCCTCTGCTTGCCAGCAGGCAGCTGACTGAAACAGCCAAGAGATCTTGCACTCTGGAGCACTGGCAAAGAAGGGTAATATCCATTTACGACTAGATATCCTGTCTTCTTCAGGGCAGTACAATGCACACACAAATGCTGAACGCAAAGCAGCCCTGGGATCACAGTGGAAGGATCACTCCAGTGAGAAGCTGAGATTTTAATTCCATGACTTCTAGGCTGAAAGTTTGAGGATCTAAATGGATTTGAGGTCCCTAAGTACCTAGACCCTGCTGAGAAAATCCTGCTGCCAGAGAGCAGGATGCTGGAGGAACGCGTGTGTTTCCAACACCTGATTGTAAAGCACATGGGAATATTTATTTAGCTCCAGAATTGTGCAATTAAAACAAAAATTAGTTTGTAATGTATCTGACAAACCCATCAGGGCACCAGGAAACCTCACTTTGCATAGATCTTTCCAGGGGCTCTGCTGCCTTTAATCAGCAAGACTGGGAGCCAGAAGAAAGCTGGGATCCCCAGGCAGGAGGGGTTTCTTCAATTCCTTCTGTGCATTTTTACCTCTGTTCCTTCCTTCCTTCCTCCCTCTTTCACACACCCTTCTTATGAGCCCCAGGAACGCCCCTACACCAGCCTCTGCCCATCAGACCAACGCTGACACAGCACAGATGCTGCCAACCCAGCACAGGAGTGCCCTGTCCTCTTAAAGCTCCCAGATGCTGCCTGACATACTCGCACATGCTTGGTCTATGCTTAGTGTCACTCATCACGGGCAAGCTTTGGGAAGTCTCCCCTTTGGCAACCAGGAACATGAAGAGCAAGAGATCTTTATTATTACAATCTCACAGGAGCTAGGACCACCCATGTTTCGAACCACTATAACCGGCGGAAGAGAGGGGCTGTGTAACCACCCAGCAGGAGTCACGTGTGGGAGGAAGCTCTCTTCTCCCTCCCTCCAGAGCTAGGATCCCTGCCAGCTGCACTGCAACTACAGGATATTGCTGTTCTCAGAGAGGCTGCAGGCAACCCCACAGGAAGGAAGGAGGAAGCAAGCTAGGATGGCACAGGGCTCCCCATGCTGCCTGAACACCAAACGTTAACCCTGAGGAGACCACGTGATGTTTCCTGGTGCTCAGAGGAGCAAGAAGGTCCTGGAAAGCCACTGGCAGGAAGCCAGTATGGAAGAGAAGTTTCCCTCTGCCTTGGAGACAGAGAAATCTGTTTGGGAGGAGCTGGGTTGTAAAGGCGAGCGGGAGAGCCAGCCCTTAGAGAGAGAGAGAGAGAGAGAGAGAGAGAGAAGGGCAGGGTGTGTTCTACTGCACCTCTGGGATCATCTGGAAGAGCGTATTAGAGAACAACGTCCCGATGGAGAGCGCGATGAAATAAGTGAGGAGCCGTCGGAAAAAGGCCTTGTTGGTGCAGGGCACGATGAAGACTCCAAGGAGGGAGGCCAAGTTAATCAGTGACACACTGAGAAAGCCAAAGCCCCACACTGCGGAACAAGAAGAAATGAGGGCTGGATTACCAAGGCTATTTGGGGGTGGGAAGGGCCAGACGCCAGCAGCTCTGGATACAGCTGGGCAGGGAAGGCCAGGGGAGTCAGGCCTCACTGAGGAGGGGGCCTTGTTATGACAGAGGATCACTCCCATCCACTGCGCTGCTTGGGATACTTTAATGGTGAGACAGTTACAGGACGGGGAAACGGTGGGAGAAATAAATCTGGTTAATGCTTCTCCATGTCTCTGAATTACTTTAAAGGGCACTGGGAATAATTAAGCTCCAGGCACTGAGCTCAGTTGTATGCCATTAACAGGCTGGAAAGAGTGAGCCAGAGCCAGGAACACCTGCGAGCAGCGGGGAGAATCGCAGGCACCAGAGAAGGTCTAACAAGGAGTTCCTGAGACCATAACTGTGCGTTCCAATAGGGGGCGTTATGGTTCCGAGAAGCCAATCGGCCGTCTGGGCCGCTTTGGATTGTTACAGGTCCCCTAGCACTTTTGGAAAGTTAACCTAGGACTCTGCTTTGAAAAGCTCCTTTGGGGCAGTGTTTGCACCGCACCTAGCGCAACAGGGTCCACGGCTGGGCTCCTAGGCACTACAAACCACCAGCACCCTGGCATACGTGGGAAATTCTAATCTGAGCAACCGCATGCTGCGTCCCTGAACTCCCGTAACTGCCATGTGACGGATGGCGTGCTATTCTTCACAGTCCGTCCCACAGCGCTGCTGTGTGGCTATTGAGACAGCTGCCACGGTCCATTCAGAGGTGGCAGCAGCGTTTCAGAGGTGGGCAAAATACAATTCATGTAAACCGTTTGTAATGTGCTTTGGATGAAAGGGGCTATAGAAATCCCTGTTATTTATTAACCTGCAACAAGATCCTCTAGTGAAAGATAAAAAACAGGCCCTCCTGAGCTGAATTAACCTGGAACACGTGTGAGAGAGAATGTGAGAGTGTGTGTGGGGCTGGGGTAGCAGTAACAAACACAGGTAATCAAGCACCACTTCCTCACTGATAGACAGCACTGCCTCTGCTAGAACTATGGAGCAAGAGCACGCTGACTGCTCTGGGAACTAAAGTCACATGTCCCAGCAGCAAATTCTCCCCTCTGCATTGTCAATGGTCCAATTCCTGCTCTCTCTCTGCCCCGCAGTGCCATGGGTAGGAAAGGCGAGGGCAGATTCAACAGGCTGCAAACACTAGTGCCTCTGCACTTTCCATGGAATCTGCAAGAAAATTACACTGGAGGAAAACCATCAAGATTCCAAGCTACCCTTGGAAAGTTAGCTTTCCAAGGTTATCACAAGAGAAATGTCTCTCCTCACCTACAACGAAGAGTCTTTGGAATGACCTAAGGAAAGACAGAAAATCCAGCCCTGCATATGCAGGTGTGGAGGGGTGATTTTATTGGGGTGCCTCTGGTTCCAAACAACTGCCCCAAAGCCACTGCTAAGAGGACAGGCTTAATAGCAGTACAGTGCATTTTGACAGCATCTTTCATCCCAAAGCACTTCACTCTCAGGCAAGCCTCCTGGGAGGCAGGTAAGGACTGCCACTCAGATCATAGATGGGAAAACAGAGCTGTGGGGAGGTGTTTGATGTGACTTTCTGTAACGTAACACAGCTGGGGGATGGCGACAGACCACCCTGTCCCTGCACTCTGCCATCTAGCATTAGGAGGGCTAGCACCTAGCAAGCAGCCCCATCACGAGTGCCAGCCCGAATCCACATTCAACTCAGAAAGCACCTTCAAAGGGCTGCCTGTTGGAAAAGCTCAGGTTTAAATGTAAAAAAGGCCCCGCTGTCTAGGATCTCTGTCCCCACAACTCCCCTGTGTAACTAAGGGCTGGTCTATATGGGGAATGAGTTCACACTGTGCTGACACGCACTAGCTGGTGCGTGATACGTATGCTGTGCTAACAGCACGAACGTGGGACAGCTGTGCCCTGTTTCAATTCACATCGTTGTGTACGTACGGCGGGGCGCGGGGCACGCTAAGCGTGTGGTATTCCGGGTGGGTATCCCATGCTTCTTTGCTTCGCCAAGTGCATTCTGGGATTTTTCCTCGCTGCACATGGTGGGATGTGTCGTGAAGCTAGTGAAATTCTGGGACTTGGGAGTCAAACTCCCCAAAATCCATGATTCCGTTCCCTGCATCCCATGGTTCCTCTCTTTCTGGGCAGGCTAGCGCCATTTTCTAATTACTGTCGGCCAAAGACACAGCCCCAGTGCGTCGCTCCTGCTGCAGGGCTGAAGCCATGGCTTGCCCTAGCAGGCTGGGAAGGGAAGGGTTATGAACAGGTGCTATCACATTAAGCCCAGAATATGCCCCATTTCTGCAGTGAGGGCTAGAAAAAGCATCTGTGCCCTGCACTCAAGAGAGGCGCTCGGAAAGCTTGTGCTTCAGCAATGCCTTTAGAGCTAACGCCGGTCCCGGTCCCCTCTCCGTGCCCACTGGCTATCTGTTCACCTTCTGCCGAGCTGGGCTTCCCCTCCTCCGTCTGCTCATTCTCCTCGTTCTCCAGGTTCTCTGCTGTGCACGCCTGAGATTCCAGCTGCTGTAGGATGGTCGGGCAGAACTCCTGGAACTTGCTCGGGCCAACATGGGACCCTTCGCTCAGGTTGTGGGCGGTGAAGAGCTCTGAGGAGCTGAAGCACTGGCGTGGGGAAAGAGAGACCTTGAGCATCCCATGGTTGTGCTCTGCTGTCTGGCTTGGCAATATGGGCATCCCCAGAGGGCTCTTCGATTGCATCCTCTCCCTCCTCCCCCTGCTAACTCCTTCCCCTCCTGGCCCAATACACGTTAGGATACAGATATTCAGGCCTGTCTGCAAAGGCCTGTACTTTAAGAATTTAGGTGTATTCTTATCACTTGGCTAGTTAGAGGAATAAAAGAAAGAATCAAAATCACTGTCTGCCAGTGTAAGGTCCTTCTCTTACTGTGACAGTCTGAGGCCCTGTTCTTAGGCTAAGGCCTTTGGCTAAGCAACAGAGGCAGCCATAAGTTGGGAAGCAACAGAGGCAGCCATAAGTTGGGAAGCAACCGGTCACATCCTCACATTCCAAACTAGTCACATTGAAAGAAGGTGCTATTGGGCTGTTAGGAATACACTCCTGTCCTGATAGTGCCTATTACCTCCAGAGAAAGGGAAGTGCCTAGAAGATGTAAAAGGAAATTTAGGTTGATAGTTTTCTGTCTGGTAAGAACTCACTTATCAATAGACACAGCTGGGAAACCCTTATGTCTTTATAGATGTAGTTGTGAAATCCTCACTTCTGTATTGTTTTGTCATGATAGTTCCCACTTTGCTATTGTTTATTGGCATGGCCTCTGTCTGGTTCTGTGATTGTTTCTGTCTGCTGTATAATTAATTTTGCTGGGTGTAAACTAATTAAGGTGGTGGGATATAATTGGTTAGCTAATCATGTTACAATATGTTAGGATTGGTTCGTTAAATTTCAGTAGAATGATTAGTTAAGGTATAGCTAAGACTATTACTATATAAATTAGGGGCAAACAGGAAGTGAGTTGGGATTCAAAAATAAGGAAAAAGGAACTTGGATTTAAGCTTTTGCTGGAAGTTCACCCCAATAAACATCGAATTGTTTGCACCTTCGGACTTCGGGTATTGCTGCTCTCCGTTCATGCGAGAAGAACGAGGGAAGTGGGAGAGTGAAGGAATAAGCTCTCTAACAATACACACACAGCAGCCCCTCACTGGACTCGGGCCTATCTCACTGCATGTGAGGCCCTAGCCCCCTCTGCAGGTCTAATGGGTCCCACGAACCACCCATCTACAGGGGCTGTTTTCCTCCCCCTCCCTGAGAATTTTCTCCACACAGAGGCAATATCCTGCCTGCCACCATCACAGCAGTTCTGGTTGCACTGTAATGGATTCCCCCACCCCACAAGAACCAGGGTTTCCCCGCTTTCACCCAACTTCACCCGCTGGCTCCCTGGGAGCAGAACACCGAAGGAATGGGAACACAATGCACAGCAGCTGGGGCAGCGAGCGAAGCAAGCTGATATAGCAGGAGAAGCAATGGTCTCCCAAGTGGAGCTCAAGCAGCTTCCCTGCATGGGTGACACAGGGCCCACGTGAGCCCAAGGAGTATCCTTGCAGAGAACATGGCCCATCTGATTGTCCATTCCGGACAAGCTTAGCCCATGGCATGGTGACCTCGCACTCTGTGTTTACGAGGGGCAGGGGGGCAGCAGTGTGTTAAGCTTGGGCCATCCCTCCTTGGGCACTGCAGGGAAGAGACACAGGAATTCACGTGGCATGTTACCCGGGAGAGGTTCCTGCGCTGCGGCTCCGATCGGGAGATGTTCTCGTGCCCCACCCCCACATCGAGGCGATTCAGCAGGGCCTTGAGCTGCTGCAGGGTCAGCACGTCACTCTCGCCATAGCGGCGCAGGAGATCCTGCAGGAAGGAAGCTGCAGTGACGGCGGGCTGCAGCGAGGCGTCCGTGCCAGCCTGCGTCTGGCAGGAGATGCCCAGGAGGCAGAGCAGCATCACCAGGAGGTGGCATCGGGGACTCACACCCAGAATCATGGTGACCAGGCGATCCTGCAAAAGGAGACAGGCAGTGTGGTTAACTTTAGTATTCCCTGCAGCCCTGAGCACTAAGGGAATCACCAACCACTGGCTGCTGGACTGAAAGGGCACAGACAGCCCAGTTGCTAAGGTATGCAGTCAGCACCTTGTTGGGTCAGACCTTCTCCAGTGGGTACACCTGGCTGCACAGGTGCTGGAACTGGGGGTGCTGCTGCACCCTCTGACTTGAAGTGGTTTCTATTCTATACACAAAGAAAAGGAGGACTTATGGCACCTTAGAGACTAACAATTTATCTGAGCATAAGCTTTCGTGAGCTACAGCTCACTTCATCAGATGCAACTGTTGCTCACGAAAGCTTATGCTCAGATAAATTGGTTAGTCTCTAAGGTGCCACAAGTCCTCCTTTTCTTTTTACGAATACAGACTAACACAGCTGCTACCCTGAATTCTATACAGAGTTTACAGTTCGGTTCAATCACTCGCAGCACCCCCATTATACAAATAGTTCCAGTACCCCTGCCTGGCTGGGTTAGGCCCCGTCCTTCCAGCTGTCCTATCCCTTACTCGACTTCCCCACACAAGATAACGTGCACCCAGCGGTGCGGATGACACAGGCCTTCCTACGCCCTGTGAAGGTATGGCGGTGTGCCCTGCAGGGGGCAGCAGATTCCCTTTGCAGCTGAACATAGCTGGATGCCTGCAGGTGGCATGGGGTTCAGTGGTTAGTGTGATAGCCACACTCTCTCTCACCAGCACAGGGACAACAATTCAGTGTGGAACAGAACTCCAACACTTGCCATGGTTAGTGGCACCGATCCCTCTGGCAGAGGAAAGGTACCTGGAGTCTCCCCCCCCCGCACAGTCTGTACCCGGATCAGGACCCCAGGGTCCATGACAGCTCTACTAAACACCAGCAATTGCACCACGTAGGAATTTCACGGGGGCGAAACAGGCAGACACTGCCAGGAAAGCAGCTCTGCCATGTGGCCCATTCCCGAAGGGTTGCAGCTGCAAGGCCTGCCAGAAAAGGCTCTGCTTGCTGATCTGCTGCATGTGAGGAGCTGGAGCGGAAAGGGAGAGAGAGGCTGTACGGCTGCTGTCAAGTGACTCCAGGAAGGTCAAGTCAGGTCAAGATTTTTTAAGGGAGAAAACCAACATCCAGGCAGATGGGCAGAAACGTTAATGGAGAGGTCTGGCATGCCGTGAGGTCAGATGAGGGGTTGGTGGCATAGGCAAGCCCTGGGGGACACAGTGCTTCTCACAGCAGCTGGGAGCTCTAGGAGCTGGGTGTGGGGGCGATGCGCATTCCAGGCTGCAGATCAGTCTTGGGAGATAATTTCCAAACTCTCAGGCCTGGCAATGGTACCACAGGCCACCGCTTCAGTCTCCGTTGGCCACCGTGCTGGGTTTGTGCCTAGCAGCTTCTCAGCTGCTCATGCAGCTACACAGTGCTCCCTGGCTGGCACCCCGCTCTGCAGGATGGTGCTATCCAGCAGATACAGAAACATTCCCCCCGATGACATGAGGAGGTCAGGATTACCACCAATGTTTGGCCTGTGGGGAAACCGAGGCATAGAGAGGCGTGACTTGCCCCAACCCACAGAGGGACTCTCTGTCAGACTCGGGAATTATCCTTGGGAGGCCCTGGCACCAGACAGTGCTGTCTCACTGAAGGGATTCAGCAGCGGAAGGGGACTGTCCATCTCTCCAGCCCAGCAGCACTAACCGAGCTCTGGTGGCAGACAGGGCCACGTTGCCTCACTCACCCCACCCCCATGTGGCACCGCAAGAGCAGACCTCGAGAGACATGGTGTCATGAATGAAGGGAGAAGCCTCGGAGCATCTGCTGCCAGAACCACACAGGTATTTGCCTGCTTGGGAGAACCCCAGCTATGCTCATAGCAGCTTTCCCCCGACACAGGGCACTCACCTTCGTCCGGTCCAGAGACACGCTGGAGTAACCCGGAACAGCCGCTGGCAAGCAGGGTGCGCCGAATGCTCACGGGCAGCAGAGCTCACGGTCCCTGGAGGGGGGAGAGGCAGTGTGAAGGGAGGATGGAGTTCGCAGCAGGAGGACCATAGCGTTCATGCCGCTCTCCTGCTGCCACAACGCTCTGCCCAGGGGACAGGACAGCGAGCTACTGAGGAGCAAAGTGTTTTGTCTACATGTGGGGTTAAGGCTGCCTGCTGAAAGGTGTTTGCCCCAGACCCAGCACACCCTCTGTGCTTCTGCAACGCATGGGATGAGCCAGCTGCAGGCTGCTTCCCCTACCTCTTATCTTCTCGCGCCAGCACGCCGAGGCTGTCAGGCTCTTAGCACACCAGGCCAGCAGAGCCACCGCAGTAATGCAGTGGAGCGTTCTAGGGGACGCTCACATCTACAGGGCCCTGAGGGAGACAGCCCACAAAACACGCTTCCTCCAAGACTGCACAGCTCTCTGGAGCACATCCCATGCACCAGCAGCCACCACTGCCCTGGCGCAAACATTGCCCCAGTCCCTGCAGTGCCTGGAGGCTGAACATGGCAGCCTTGACCCAGCGTTACAAACATGGGGTCAAACCAGAGCAGCCATGTCAGAGGTTTGGGAAACTTCCTGCGAAGGGGCCAGGCCAAGGAGTTGGCAGCTGGCTGCGGCAGCTTTCGCTTCCTTTGGACACCGAGCACCAGGAGGCCCACTCCACAAAGACCCACAGAGGGTGCAGGTGGAAAATTTGTGCCCACCTACTGCACCCAGGTCCCAGCTGGGGCTCTGTGTAGACGGATGGGCACCACAGCCAGGAGCCAGGACATTAGCTGAGTGCAGAGTTCTGGGCCTGAAAGCTGCACCAGGCCTGGTTTTATTCACCCCTCTCTATCTTCTAAGTTACAATCACTGTTCAAAGCCTGCCGAGACGACGGCTTTAGACCTCTGCCCCTACAACCACATCCCTCCCCATATGGTCAGTTACCCTGACAGCCTACATAGGGCCTTGAGTAACCCCAGTGCAGGCTTCGCACACTCAAGACAAGGCCCCTAACTCCACAGGCTTCCAGCTTAACTGACACAAATCCCACAGCCACATTCAGACAGGAGGCACAGAGAGGACAGCACAGCGATCAGCATGTGCAGCTTTGTGGAAATCTGGGTTCCGGGCTGTAGCGAGTCCTTCTGAGCTGTCTGGGAGCCCAGGAGATGCCTGCAGCAGCTCGAGGGCCTGAGGAATAAGATTCGTTCATTATGTTATATTTTAACCATGCTGCTAATTATAAGTTGAACCACATCCCAGCGGCCTCTTCCCCAGGCGGAGGCGTATATGTATTTATATTTACCGGGTCCTTGACTGATAATCTTTTATATAAATCAATAGAACAGCATGGAGCTCGAACGCTGGGCAGCACCAGCTCTGCCATGCAATATGCCTGGAGGCACAAAGAGGGCAGCCTTACATAAGAACATAGGAATTGCCAGGCTGGATCAGACTTGTGCTCCCATCTGGTCTGGCATCCAGTCTCTGGAAGTGGCCAGTACCAGCTGATTCAGAGGATGATGCAAGAACCTTGTAGAAGGCAGTTATGGAATTACCTGCCATCAGAGGAAGTTTCCTCCTGACCCCCCCCCCCCCCATACCTTGAGACCAGCTGAAGCTCTGAAGCGTGAGGGTCAAAATCCCTTCCAGGCTCTTATTAAAAAATACTATTATAAATATTACTGACCAATACCAGTGTCCTGTAACTGCCAGGACAGTCACCAGACCACGCACAGGAGCTGATCTAGGGCTTCTCCTACCTATTCTAATAAACAGGCTTACAGAGTGCCTTAATGTAGGTAATGTTTCCTGTGTCCAGTGAAGTCACCCCGGTGTGTTGGGTGAAACAGTGGCCCAGTTAAATGGCAGTGACAGCATCGTCTTAAGGGGGGCCAGAATTTCACCCGCTGTGCTCTGCATGGCAAATCTCTCCAGGGTAAAGCCACCTGGCACCCATGCGAAGGCTTCAGGGGGCAACTCCAGCTGTTTCTGTCCCAGTTGGTTCATGGCCAGCTGGGGTCAGGAAAACACTCCCCAGCACAGCAACAGGAGGTGCATTACAGCACCCAGCACAGAACAGATCATTAAGCCTCCATATAAATCCACAAGGCTGAGAAACGGAAGACACTTGCCCGGACACAGCATGCACGGGGCTTCTTGCTGCAGTCCAGGGACGAGGCTATGGCTTGCAATTCTGATGAGCACTGCTGAGCTGGACTGTTTCCACGGGAGGGGAAAGTTGTGTCTCTGGGATACAGGAACATTGACATATTGTGCTGCTGAGACCTTATCAGGGAAAAAACCTTGGGTGCCAGGGAATGTTGGACTAGCTCTCCAGGAAGGTCAGCTGCACACTTCAGTATGGTTTAGGTTCTTAGCTTAGACCTTGCTAGATTTCTCCCCAGATCTCAGGCCACGTGCTGCTGAAGCAGACTTTGGTACAGGAGTAGCAGCACATCCCACAGTGGTGCCCAGTATCTTAGCAAGTGGGGTATCTTAGCCACTAAGCCTAAGGAAAAGCTGCTCCGAGTCCCTGCTGTGGACATAGTTATTTTCAGGACTCTGGGCTTCCATAAACTACTTCAACTGCCCAAGAGAAGGGTGGTGAAGTGGACAAGATGCTAGCCTAGGACTCCAAATATCTAGGTTCAATTCCCAGCTCTGGCACAGATGTCCTGTGTGACCCTGGGCAAGGCACTTAGCCTCTCTGTGCATCACTTCCTCATCTGATAACAGCACACCCCTGCTACACATGGGTGTTGTGAGAATAAGTGCACTGAAGTTTGACACACACTCTGATATTTTGACACAGACAGACGACCGCAAGGCTCAGGGGTGGGTAATTCACTGTGAGGTCTTGGAGGTGGTTTGTATTCAGCTCAGGCTGGTAGGGACTCAAAGTTGCTCCCTCCTGGCAGCTGTTTAGTGCTCTTTGTGAAATGAGTCTGTGGGGAAAGATCAGAGAGTGAGAAGGCCAAGCATGGAATGGGCCAGGGGGACTGATCTCCCTTCCCCTCCCCTCGTGGTGCCTACTCTGGCTATGGGTGGGATGCAGGTGCAACATGCCCTCTGCCTGAACGGCGTCATACGAGCAGCGCATTCACTTTAAGACACGGACTTTTGTTGCTCTGCTAACACACCACACACACACAAACACTCCCTCCCTCATCTATGACCTAGAGCGGAATTCGGGCTGTGCTCCCGTTCACTAGGCCCACAGCCATATTCAAAACAAACCTTTGCTGATGTGTTACAGACTTTGGTCTCCTCTAGAAGTTGACCTAAGGCATTTTTGGACTCCACTCAACCAAATGTTCTGAAAATAAGTCTGGCTCATTGGCCAGAGCCATATTTGGACTGGCAAGGCCTCTCCTGACGGGTCTGCCCTGCAAGGAGCAGTCCTCCCAGCCCCTCACATTGACCAGGGCTGGGCGGGAGAAGCAGAGGATCTGTTGTCACCAATTCAAGGCTAATCAGAGCAAACCAAACTCAGGCGCTCAACACTGTTATTAGGCCACATCCAATGCTTTCTTATTAAAAAGGGATCGACATTCTCAGAGTCTCAAGAGCTTACTGCAACTTTGAAATCTTTGTTTTTTAAAAAGCACCAGGAACTCCTTGAGAAGGAATTGGCCAGGGAGGTTTTAGCAAGGGCTTGGGGGGGGGGGTTGGGAGGGGGATGCTTTGCCGATTTAACCCCTCCCCTCCCAAATCTGGAGAAAGGCAATGCATCTGGAAGCAGTGCAGCGCACATTTCGGGACGTGCTAGGGACACAAGTGCTTCCGCCAGTCTCCCTGAAGACTCTGCAGTACCCACCCCTTGCTCCCACCCCGTCTCAGAGCTCCTTGCTGCTTTAAAGAACTGGGGACAAGGCCTGGTAAAGATCTGCAGCACGTAGACAGGCAACTGAGGTTAAAGGTACAGCCCAGCCTGACCACATACTCACCCTTGGGAGGATGGAGTGTGACACAGCTGCAACCCCCCCTGTCTTTTTAAATGGGGTTGGCAGCTAGGTGAGAAGGGAAGAATAGCCTCAGGTTTCTTGTCTCCCCCCTTCCCAGCACTCAGTTTACCAGCTACTTCCATCCCCCAAATCCATAGAACAAAGAAATTGTCAGAGCCAACCACACCAATGGTCCAAATGCACAGTGCCACAATTACAAGAGAGTAAAACCCTGCAATAACCTGCCCATACGAATTTTCTTTTTGACAACCAACCGTTAGTGGCTAGTTCGTACCCTGAGGTGTGAAGGTTTACACCCCTTACACATTTCTATCCTAGCTACTTCTACCCTGCATCTGAAGAAGTGGGGTTTTTACCCACGAAAGCTTATGGCCAAATAAATCCGTTAGTCTTTAAGGTGTCACCGGACTCCTTCTTGTTTTTATCCTAGCTACTGTCACTGCAGACGATATCCTTATTCACAGAGATGTCTAATCCTTAAACACTTCCTCTCTGAGCTGCCCACAATGACACCCAGGTTTGTTTCCCTGAAGGGTGTTCTCACCAATCAACACGTAGGAGTAATTCAAGTTGTTGCTTCCAGCATACCTGCAGTGAATTTCATTTGATTCCATGTGGTTAGGTCCCTCTGAAGCGCCTCATAATCCTTTATTTCTAGCTAACCCACAAATGTTTGTCTCCACTGTCCAACCCCCTTTCCCAGATTAAATATATTTGAACAGCTCCAGGCCAAAATATACAGCCTATTAATCTCCTGCCTTGCTCAAAACTGACCACCTAAGTCATCTGCTCAGTAAATACAGTATGTGCATTATACTACCTGGAGAAGAAATTTTAAACTAACACCACACACAGACAAAAAAACCTTCCCAGAAGTCTGAGCTGCTGGAATTCATGGAAACTATGAGTATGTCACTAAGATCACACCACTCCCAAGTTTCTCTCTGCCAGCTCTGTATCCTGAGGTGCAGGCGTGAAACAAGAATGATTATTCAATGCGGTAAAAGTTCCAGCACTGTTCTCGCATATGCCACCGCTTTACAGTTTAAAAGGACGCCTGCTAAGCAATGCATGTGGCGTGGGTCTTGTCTTGAGTGCTAACGGTGCTGTGTTTTTTACCTTAGGGTGGTTAATACGTGTGAGCTGTCCCAAGGTAAAAAACACAACACGCACCAAGCACATAAACCGTCAGGAAACCCCACCCCACCCCGCAGCTGACCTCTGGAAAAATTTACCTCACAGTAAAACTAAAGTGCCTGGTCTTCTTTGTGAAAGAACATACCCCATAACCACTGCAAGAGTGGAGCACAACAATGCAAGAGCAGCCAGAGAGAGACCCGTCACAGTACATGACGAGGGTTTACATGGGCCTCAATGGCAAAGGAGAATTGGTGACAGGATTCAGTCTCACTCTGAAGTTGGCAGTTCAAAACCAGACCACGCTGTTCGAGTTCAAAACTCGTTCCCCCGACACCTGTTCAGTGGCTGACCTGGAAAGATCTGGTGGACTGGTGTCAGTTTCACAAGTCACTGCCGCGTGCCTGCTGGCAATCTTGGAAGAGACCAAGGATGGAATGGGCCATGGGGAGCAAGCTCCTCGCTTCCCTAAAGGAAGTTCCTCCCAAGTGGGGCTGAAACCCATTGGCAGTGGATGGTGAGCCACATGCTGTGCCTGCCCTGGGGATAGTTCACTTTCCAGGGATGGCAAGCCAACATATTTCACTAGCACTGCAGGAATTACAAAGGGTTAGATCTCCAGGAGCTCAGTCTGAACTTCATTGGCACTGGGGAGCAGGGTGTTTTTTCTGCATTTCTTTTAAAGGTTCAGAAGCTTCTCCAGCTAGCAAAGGCATTCTCAGTGGATAGTGTACTGGGATCACAGATCGGATCTAATCGCAAAGAGATTCCCCATCACACCCTCATGGCGCCTCTTGCCTTTGTCAGCATTTCCTAGATCATGACTACACAACGTGTAGCTCTCAGAATGTTACAACCCCCTAGTCAGAAGAACCCCATGTTGCTTTGCAGCCATTTTTGCTGCACTGGGAGACCGCAGAAGTTTCTTCTAAGGGACCCTTTCAGATTGGCAACAGCATCCCTGCTGCATGCAGGAATAGTGAGGACACAGCATGCAGGAATAGTGAGGACACAGCATGCAGGAAGAGTTCTATAGTGCAGATCCTGTGTGTCGCTAGACATCTACTCCCATGCTGCTGCTGAGTGAAAGGTGCTAAAGAAACGCATGGAGGATGTCTTTCAAGATTTATTTCCCTATGCTTGGAGGGATCAAGCCCTACCTGTCCCCTATTCACGACTTAATTTGTTTGGAGCCCCCGGTGTCGTTTAGAGAAGAGGCAGGACAGGATAGAGGGCCTTCTCGGAAGGAAAGGCAACGAAAGCCTGAGAACAGGGGAGACTAACAGTACAGGGCAATAACCTGGAAAGAAAAGAAGCTGCGGGTCTGGAGCACTCCTTTCTGAACGGAGGAGGAATTTCCAGGGCTTGCTGGAAACAGGAGCAGTCCAGCTGCCTGTGTGCAATGGTTACAAGAGACACCTCACACAACTCGCAGTAAAACACCACCTCCCCCCCTTTCTCACACATTCAGAAATCCCCTGCTAGATTGGCTGGCATCCTGCCTGTTCCATCTCATGAATTCTCCACCTCCACCACAGACTGACCTTCTGAGGTATCCTCTGTTTGATTCAACACCAGTTAGCCTCTCTGTCAGCTCACCGAGCCCTTTGACCAGGAACATTCTTGATAAAACTGTGAAGTCCACTGCGTTTTCATTCGAGAAGAGACTTGCCGCATTACTTTTAAACAGAGGGGATGGGAGGCCTGAGTCTCAATCAGGGCAGATCTAGCTCCCAAGCACCCATTGATGGCTCAGCCCCAACACCTGGAAAATGACACAGTCAAAAGCAGCGCAGGGCTGACGTTTGACCTACTCGGAATCGAAGAGAACAATATTTTGTCCTTGTCTCTCTCCCCACCTTTGGCTCCGCTGCTATCAAAGCCCAGGATGTTTGAATGTCAGGAGGAAACACAGTGAGTAGAGGACTGAGAACCAGGATCCTGTGAATTAGTCATTACTCCCATCTTACAGAGCAGGAAAACGACCTGCCCAAGGGAAACAATGAGTCGGGAGCAGAGCTAGGGGTAGACCCTAGTCCTTAAAGTGTATCTAATTCTTTGAATGGGCAACGGAAATGCAAAGTATTACACATTATTGTGATGCTTGAGCACAAGCCTGGAAGTAACATGTTAATTTCAGCTAGAGGGAGAACCAATGTTTCCCAGGGCAAGAGGACACCCTGGTGTGAGAAAGTTATTATTGTCAAGCATGTGTATTGTTTGTTCAAACACACACAAACTAGGAGGAGTTAAGAGCATATGGTGGTGTAAGCATCATGCTCCCTTCCCCTTCCTGCTCACCAGTAAGGTGCTACCCATCAGCTTACAATCCTCTGACAAAGGCCCTGGGATGTCTCAGCATCACGCCTCTTCATAACCCACGCCACATTCCAGAAACGGCACAAGACACTTGCTGTGTCAACATGAACGGCATTTGAAACCTCCAGCAGAGGGGACAGGAGAAGTCACTGCAGCTTTTACTGAAACAAGGTCAAAAGGGCATATTTTCCATATGCCTAACCACTCCCTTCATGCTTTAAGCTAAGACTTCTCCAGACTATTCGAGCCCTTCAACACTGATGTTTTCAACCCCACTTCTCCTCCCAGAGCGTGGCCGGAAAGGGAAGCATAATGCTAACACTGGTACCACAGCAAGGATGCATTCCCCTCTCCTCTCTCGCTACAGGCATGTTTCTCAACCCTCTAAAGCACATTCTCTCCCCGCATTTTTGCTCACTGCAACCATAAAGGAGTGTGCAATACGCCACAATCTTACACCACATGCACAACAGGCCAACAGTGCAAGCAGAAACAACTCCACTAACTTCACCAGAATTGTGTCTGCTCACACCAGTACTGCATTTGGCCTTGTAACGGTATCCCTGTTACCACCTACTGGGAATAGGCATGCCCATCTAAACAGTTCTTGGCTGTCTAAATCTGGCCCACGTGCCTTCTCTTTCAAAACGGAGAGTCCTATGTGGCATGGGATGGTGTGTCTCAGTCCAGTTCCCCATAGGCAGGTGTCCAGACAGCAAAAATCATTGCCACCAGGGGCAATAATTAACCCTCTTGTTGGCAGTCTCCCCGCAGAAGGCAAGGACTGAATGGCATACCAGCTGCCCTTTGCCTTGTGTATTGCTTTTCATCTACAGATATCACAGCAATTCACAAACAAGGGAGGAGAGCAGATTAAAAATCATGTTTAAAGAAAAAAACAAAACAAACAAGAAGTCCACACTACTAGTAACACCCTAGTAATTTGAACTGAGGGACCTGTGAAAGCGAAACTGACCTCACAGCATTTATGCTATTAGTTGGTCTTCTGCATTTCCCCCAGCTCAGGGAGAGATGAGGGATTAGCCAGTTTCACTTCTATTTCTAACCCTTTTTCCCATTCTCCAGCCTCAGCCCAATGCCACAAGGGCCAAGTGGCAAGGCAGGGAAAGTTGTGACACGGAAACTTTTAAACACAAAGGAAGGGTCTGCGTGATTAAAAAATTTCTACCAATAGGCTGTGCAGATTCCACCCACCGGCTCTCAATCCACCTGCGAAGTAACCCTATCTCCTTTTGTGATAGGCAGAGAGTAAGTGACTCACACAAGCCCAAAGAGGGAGTCAATAGCAGGACCACAACAGAACCCAAGAGTTCTGACCCTCTGCCTCCCTCCCAGAGCTGTGAGTAGCAGATGTGCTCTATGTGAGGACTGCAGTCCTGGCCAACAATTACAGCATTACCTGGAGCTAGGGTACCTTCTGGGATAAGAAGAGAAGAGCAGCCCCTCCAGTGCAATATCTGGCTTCTAGCAGCATCCACTCCTCTGGGGGGAATTTATTCCTGGCACCCATTAGGCGTAAGTGCACACTGTGACCAGCCCACCAGTTTCTCTGCTCTCCCAAAGCGTGTACCTGCCTGCCCTGCAGTGCCCCTTTAGGCAAATGAATGTCCACAAATTACCTCTGCTCCCTACATGCCCCCCGCCCAGGCCTTAATATCAGCTCTCCCCCAAGCCCGCTGTCTTTGTTACACCCTCTCAAAGATGCCACTACCTCTTCCACTCCCAAGGAACAGGAGATCCCCTTCCCCACCCCCAACAAAGACTTTCTTTCCCCCTCCCCTGGCTTCTCTTCACCCTCTACCTACCCAGTGCCCTTCAGTGCTCAGCTCCCTGCTGTCATACCCCAAGATACTCCATAGCCATGGCCTTCTCCGCTTGCCCCGCAGGCAGACCCACCCGCTCACAGCCACACTGATACCGCCAAATTCCTAGTGCCCTCAGCACCTGCCCTGGTATCACTCCAGTGCCTTGGGACCCAGAGCCAATGCCCACCACAGCAACCGGGCACGAGCATCCCAACTCTGCTGTACCATCACACCCAGCTCACACATCCCCCTTGGCCAACCCCCAGTTCTCCTGGAGCCTAAACCCCGCACACTCACCCACAGGCCCTACGGCCCCACCCTGCGCTGCTGGCCAGGACCTGCAGATCCTCAGATGCCCCCCCACCCCAGCCCCCCCAGTGCCCTGACCCCCCCTACCCAGCCCCAGTACCCTGACCACCCCCTAGTGCCCTAACCACCCCCCCGGGCCAGCCCTCCCTCGTGCTCTTACCCCCCCCCGGGCCAGCCCCCCCTAGTGCCCAGACACCCCCCCCTAGTGCCCGGACCCCCCCCCAGGCCCAGCCCCCCCTAGTTCCCTGACCCCCCCCCGGCCCAGCCTCCCCGTGCCCTGACTCTCCCCCCACCCAGCCCAGCCCCCCCCAGTGCCCTGACCCCCCACACCCATCCCAGCCCCCCCAGTGCCCTGACTCTCCCCCCACCCAGCCCAGGCCCCCCAGTGCCCTGATCCCCCCCCCCTCCCTCCCAGCCCCCCCAGTGCCCTGACTCTCCCCCCACCCAGCCCCGCCCCCCGTCCCTATCCCCCCCCTCCCCAGCCCCCCAGTGCCCTGACTCTCCCCCCACCCAGCCCCGCCCCCCCAGTGCCCTGACTCTCCCCCCACCCAGCCCCGCCCCCCCAGTGCCCTGATCCCCCCCCTCGGCCCAGCCCCCCAGTGCCCTGACTCTCCCCCCACCCAGCCCAGGCCCCCCAGTGCCCTGATCCCCCCCCTCGGCCCAGCCTCCCCGTGCCCTGACTCTCCCCCCACCCAGCCCAGCCCCCCCCAGTGCCCTGACCCCCCACACCCATCCCACCCCCCCAGTGCCCTACTCTCCCCCCACCCAGCCCACCCCCCCAGTGCCCTGATCCCCCCTCGCCCAGCCCCCCCAGTGCCCTGACTCTCCCCCCCAGCCACGCGGCCCTGACCTCACCGCCCGAGCTGCAGCCCCCGCAGCGCTGTCCGCTCGGCCCCGAGCCCGGCCTGTCCCCAGCTCCCCACGGGCCCGCGCAGGCTGCACGCTACTGGCGGCGCACGCTACGTAGCAGGGGGTGAGCTGGGCGGCTCCGCCTCCTGCACACGGCCATTCGCCACTGGCCCGCGTCGATTAGCATAGCCACGCCCCTGCTGGCTCCGCGCCACGCCCATTCGGAAGCCAGGAGCACCACGTGGCGGGGTGGGGAGGCCTCTCTCCTGGGCCGCAGTGGCGGTGGAAGGGGGCGGGGTAGTCGGTAGGGGGAGCCCCTCGTTTTGTTCTGCGTTTATACAGCGCCCAGCACAGTGAGCTCCTGGTTCCTGCCTGGGGCTGCTAGGCGCTTCTGCACTACCACTAATAAATAAGGGGTAGGCGGAGGAGGGTAGCTGTGCATTCAAACTGTGATCTACGCTTGCACATCTGCCTGTGCGTCTGCGTGTGTACGCACCCATACGCACCCCGCCCCAGGAATGCAGGGCTCTGCAGTTCTCCCATGCAGAGTGGGGCCTGATTGGAATCACAGGCTCAGGGTGGATGACAACATAATAACAGGGTGCATGACAAGAGCATAAATAATAAATGAATACAAATGACCCTTTGCCCTGCTCTAGCCCCTTCCCCGTGAGGCCTTCACAGCTCTTTACAAACCCTAATGAATTCAGTTACAGTCCCATGGAGCAAGGCGGCCTCATCCACGATTTAGACAGAGAGAAACTAAGGGATGAGACTGGCCCAAGGTCACACACAAGTCAAGGGCAGAGACAGGAAACAAGCATCCGGGTTCCCAGACCTGCACGTTAACCAAAAGAACATCCACCTCCCCGCCCTTGGTGTCATGCTCAAGCACTGGCCTTTTCATCCCCATCTGCAACAATAACCGGCTTTTCTGTAGCGTTTTTCACCCACAGACCTGGTAGCACTTTACAAAGGAGGTCCCCCTTTTGCAGATGGGGAAACTGAAGCACAGCAAACTGATTTTGGGACCCAGAGCCAATGCCCACCACAGCAACCGGGCACGAGCATGTCATCGCGCAGGCCTGTGGCAGAGCTGGGCATGGAATTCAGATCTCCTGAGGCCCCGTCTGAGGCTCTATCCTCTGAGTCTAGCATCTCTTCCTCTTGACATCTCTTTGGCATGACAGAACCAGCGCTGATAGTGACAAACCAAAACCTTCGCCTACCTGCTTGTCTGTCCCTGGAAGTCAGATAGAACGTGACCGGGTCAACAGCCTTTCGGTCATAAGCCTGGCTGGTCACTTACAGCAAATGAGCACAGAGCAATCCTATTTAAGAGGTTTAGAAACCCTTCTGTTATGTGCAGCCCCCATCCCATTCCCCAAATTATACTGTAATTATACTGTTGTAAATTACACAGCAGTGACACAGCAACTCTGTCATCTCAGCGTTTAGAGAGATGGGTCAAGCTTAACCAACCCCTTTGATAATGGAAAACAGGGTCTTTGAGAAACCAGAGATAATAAATCTTCTGTTCTTTATAACCAGCCTCGTGGGTATCGGTCTTTGTCTCATTAAATGTGGCTGGTATGCGGAGAAATATCGAGGTGATGGCAGCGGCTAAGACTTCTATTTACATATTGTGAAAACAAAGGAAAGGAGAGGACACAGTATCTGTGGGCCTGATACCAAGTCGGCACACCACACATGGGCTGGAGCCAACTGTTGAACTATAGCCAGCCGAGAGTACTCTGGAAGAATTCTCAGCCAGGGCACTAGCCATGTCAGTTGTGAGGGAAAAGGCCATTAAATGCCTGTCTTTCTGGCAGCCTTTCCTCTTGCCCCTCTAGCCTCATCCCTAGTTACATTTCTAGAGCATTTTAAGAAGTGTTTCGAGGAGACTCACTGCAGCTAGTTGGGGGCCGAGATACAGCAGCAGTTTCAACAGGGCACAATAATAGTACGAAACAGCTTAGGCAAGACAGCAAAGAACACCGTGTCCAGCTGAAATGCTGGCAGAATTTTGGGAGGCAGAAAACAGTTAATCAAGCTATCTAGAAGGCGTCAAGGACTCAGGATTAATAAACCCACACTCTTGCAGGTGTGCCATGCGATTGTTAATGATCACAAGTTGTCAAGGCGTCCGTTTGAAGCCTCATTAAATAGAAAGTATCTTCAGCAGCCTGGCTCCCCGTAGCCCCACAGAGGGACATGCTCAACAGGAACGAGGGCTATTAAAGAACGAGTGGAACTTTCCAGAACAACCATTGAAGGGTTCAGCTTCACCACAGAGTTACTGCTATTGAGTCAATTTCGAGAGAACACAACTGGCCATGTTGCAAAAGAGCAGTTGAGTTCCATGTGCTTCCAGTAATACCCTGCACCCACACTGACACTGCACCCAACTGTGGGAAATGCAAAGATTTTAGGGGATGCTGGCCATGGTTCGTAGTGCCCCAGCAAACCGCACTGTTGCAGGGTGTCTTCTGCAGGGTATAGGGGATAGAATGTGTCTGTCCTTTTGGGGATTGCGGGTAGAACTGGTATAAGCCTGAGGAAATCCCACAATTCAATGTAAATAATTCCAGGTTGTCTCCAGATCTTGTGCTCTCATCTTGTGTTGTAGGGTATGCCACAGCACAAAGATGCCATGCGACAATCGCATCCAAAGGTCATTAGGGGAATTGTGTGGGTTAAAGCACTCTGCTTCGTCTGGACTGTTAGACCTTTCCAATATTCCCGTATGTTGCAGAGTAGCTATGCTTCTCCAGGCCATGTGGTCCCTATGAGCCGTGCTGCTTCCTAGGGGAACAGTGCAAGGTAGGAGAAGAAAAATAGGTACGGAGCGTGGAGTTTGGTCTGAATTCTGGACAGGGACAGAAGCCTGGGTAGCTGCTTCTTGGGACAGGGCAGCAGGGCTAGTCTGAGGCTCCCGCACCAGGGAGTTGCTAAGGGGCAGTTTGCATAGAGCACCGGGGCATGTTTTTTAAATTAGCAAATCATACTAAGAAAATTCCTGACTCCACATCACCAATTTCTGTTCCAAATGGAAAGGCTGGCCCCCAAGCTCTGCTACCGCTCAGCAAGGGCCCCCCCCCCCCCCCTACTTTGGACCCAGCCAGAAGTGCGGCCCTGGAGCAGGTGTAGGATTACACATCGGAGTTGCTAATGGGATCAAAGGGCCTGAACAGTAAGAAATGGGATCTGGGACACATAAATAGTTTATAAGCTACCCATTCTCCTTCTACGCCTCTTCTGGCAATACCAGAGAGAACCACAGCCTTCCCCAGCGACAGCATCCCTTCCGCTGCTGGAAGGGGGAAACAAGCTGCTGCAGGCAGAAACCAGAGGTGGCTGTTTTCTACTTCACGATTCTCTTTCCGATTGCTCCTCACCCTTTGTTAT